TACATACTGACAGTTGTAATCGTTACTGCTTTAATATAAGAAAGAAGCTTTGACCAATGAATTCCAACCTTATATTTATATAGTCATTTACCCATGACATAATCCTAATTAACTGAATTCATTATATGTTACTGAATGTCAAATGATTGGTCTGAATGATGGGTGGACTGTTCTGAAGGTATAAAATTGCCGAGTTTAATGCACGGACGGCCTATGTTTATGAACAATTGAGGAGTCCTCAGTAGCCTCATTGGTGTACAATGTGGATCTGATGCAGACGTGAAGGCGTGGATGGACAAAGCAAGCGTTGCATTGCCACAACTAAACTACATCTGGAACTTGAAACAGCTACGAACGAGTACAAAAGTCATAACTCCAGACAGAATTGTCAAGCCAGTTTTTCTTCTGTATAGGGCGGAAACTTGGAAAACTACCAAAGTCATCATCCAGATGATTCAAGTATTTATTAACAGTTGTCTGCACAAATTAAGTTGGATCCGTTGGCCTTACACCAACAGCGACAACCGACAGTGTGGGAGGGCGAACCAGAGAACAGCGGAGGGGGGAATCGGTAGAAGCACTGGGAGTGGATGAGATACACATTGCGGAAAGCACATAACTGCGTCACAAGATAGGCCTACATTTGTAATCGTCAAAATTAAAAGAAAATACGAACGCCAATCATGCATTAGTGGTAGCATACGTAAGTAAAAAGGTAATAATGCAAAAAACGTATCTGAAGAAAACGATGTTGTACTATCATGCAATCAAGTCATGAAGTTGTGTGTAATGCATTTATTTGCATTATCAGCATACACCCTACTTGCTAATGAGTTATAGTAATATGAGTAATTTATTGAAAAACAACATTCATTTTCATTCGGTTTATTGCTCTTAACATTTAACTATTGATTTTTCTAAATAAAGTTATAATTTAGTTGTTACCTATATTGTTCACTGTTATTTCGATTCAACTTTTCTTTGAATTCACCTTCAGGACATCTCAATGTCACTCAATTGCATAACAGTGATTTGAAACAATACCGTTCTGAGAATACATGAAGCAAAAACAGGTTAAATAAACACGTTTCAAATGAACAATGAACAAGCGTTACAGATGAATTCATGTATTACATTGTCCTCAATAATACTGAAATACGTCACGCACATGCTATTTGATTGAAATTACTTGTTAAAAATTGTAGAAAACTGTTCAATGTTACATGTAATAACAATCATACTAATCCCTGCTTTTGCAAGAAATCAAATATCCGTGTTATTATTCTGTTAACTGACTACGTCATTTGGATATTTAAGCTTAAATATATATGTATATTTTTAAAATGGAGTGTTCGGATAATCGTACTGACCATAAGACAAACAGTGTTAGTTGTTAACCTCACTGTAAATCATGGAAGTAGTTATAATTATGTTTTACTTCATTCATTGAACAATTAAATAAACTGATCATAATTTTAAAATGGGTTATGACAGATTCTTGTTATTTATCGATTAATGTCTAACTTAGATGATGATTGGGTGAGATAAGTTCAACTGTTCAATTACTCAACTATAAATTTATTTATTTACTTATATGATGAAAGGGTTAAAAAATTAGCAGTTCCACACCTACTGATGATGATGGTCAGTTATATGCTGCATCAATTCTGTTTCATTCAATAAGATCATTGCAGTATGACGATATTCGACAAAATTGAACTAACATCTACCTCGATTGAAATAATCTGTGTATTATTTAAGTGAATCAGTCTCGTTTTATTCATGACTATTTCCATTGATTCAGTATCGGATAGATTATGTGAGGAATTGACAACAGCTTGTGAGAACAATTCACAGTAAGTGTTATTTTTCAACGGAATTATTTCCAGTGAATGTAATAACAAAAACACATTATTCGATTTTTTCTGTGTAATAATTTTCATGTTGATCATTTATAATTGATAGACAATTCAAATTTCATAACATTCATGAATTGATCGACGTTATATTACCAATATGATGAAAACTGGAAGCACTGAACAGCCGTTTCATTCTTGTACATGACTAGTCATTAGTGAGCATCCACGACTCCCACATAGGAAAAACGAATCCACAATCATTGATCTGGCATGCGAACGCTTGGCACTTAGACCGCCGAACTGGTATTAAACAGTGTTAATGTCTGACTGCAATCAGTCCACAATACTTTGCGACCATAACCCGATGTCTCGGGTGAGTAACTCTCTCACTTCCGTCTGTGTTGAACTTCCCTGGTCACGATTTCGTACTAGAGCTCTGAGAATTTATTCATGGAGCTAGTCACTAGTAAACACATGATAGTTGTCACTATCAATTCATGATTTCATTGAGTTTCAATAGTTTCCACCATCGAATAATGAAAAGTACTATATTTCATTGAGTTGTATATTCCATTTGATATTTTAATGTACGGAGATGACATTGTTCTCCTCTTACACCATATAAATATTTTGAAATCGTATGTTAGTGATCAAGTTCGATGAGCGCATTTCCTAATCATCAATCAATCATGTAATTAGACTTTGACAATAAACAAGATACTTTAATCTGTTTATCCTAATAATAAACATCAATAATAATTTTCTATGTACTGTTATGTATGTCGCACAGTAAATCGACTTCTGATGAGTAAAACATGGTATAACACGAATATTATGCTACATTGAAAACGTGAACTATTCAATGTTGGACCACTACTGGAAAATTGAGTGTATTGTGCATCAGCGTCCCTGCAAACGGGTATGGAACCCCTGGATATTTGGCCTCATATTGAACAATATCTATAAAAGTTGTTCATTTACAAATACAACTTATAACTATAGCACATATGCTGTTAGTCTTCTTGTTAGTATTGAATTAGACTTCGTCGTGCATCAGAATTGGGTTGATATTTATCTTCAGACTGATGAGTATATCTTTCACTTCTCAATGTGGATAATCAGTTTCTAAAATAATTTGATAAAGTTTTTGTTGATTTGAGAGTGATATATTTAACGTCACCTAATTATGATGAACGTGAGTAGCTCTGATTGATACCATTGTACGAAGTTGCTACAATAGAAGAAGTAACACTAAGCTTTAGTGAACATAATAATAATAAATAGTTCACTATCCAGAAGTACCTCTGTAATTTAGATAACAGTAGCAGTGATAACATTTCTTCAAAAAAAACTACTACAAACTGGTGGGAAATTTCATATGAACTTTCATTTAGAATGTAATAATGTATACCTAAATTGCAAAAATTATTCACACACATTTTTGTTTTGTTTAGGAACTGCGTCCATGGTCAATGCAATAACGGTCTTTGTGTATGTAACATGTGCTGGACTGGTGAAACTTGCAACATGCAGTGTTAGTTATTATTTTTCATTCACAGTGTTTCTACTATCCCCATATATATGACGATCACAATCAAATCTACATTCCACATGATCATTTTGATTTCTACAAAAACGGGATTATAAATTATATTTCAAACAAGATAATTACTGACTAAAATTGTGGCGAAAAGGAAGAAATGATGAAAGGTTGATTTGAATAAAGGGATTTTTAAATTTATCACTGGATTTATTTAAGTTGATTTCGAAGCTTCCACTACAGCCTTATGGAAATTTTTGAGTTACTTTGAAATCACGCAACTCCAGGTTACGAACCCAGGTCCTTCGACCTCGTGTGCAAACGAATAACCTGTACACCACTGAGCGAGCATCCAGTGGTGTCATTGACTAACTTTGATGAACCCACGGTCTTGCAAGACCGAATCCATCGTCTTTGTTGTGCATTGCTTAGCACCCAAACATGGCTGAACTACGCTGGTCACGATTTCTTACTAAATCTCGGATAAACTTCCTGACTGAAGAAACGTAAACAAATATAATTTGTGTCATGGTTCTTGATCAAGTTGATTTGTCTTCAGCAAACTTGAAACGATCAAAGAAAATAGACAAAATTCTTGTTATTCTCCCAATAGGTGAATATATATCAAGAACGTACAAGTTTACTTATCAATTAATATGTGCCACAGTACAGATAATTAAATACCATCTCTCACAATAACGTTATTTGTATTACTCCATATGCTTGAACCTTTAGCTGTTAGTTTTTCATAATATGAACCAGGACGCTGTTGAGGAATTTTTGTTTCAATAAATTCAACTGTATGATCAGATTCTATTCCATCGAAAACTTGTGCTCTACCTTTTTTCAAGTCCTTTGATGAGTTAATAATGTCCTTTCACTCCCAGATTTAGCTCTCTTCATGTTTTAACTAAAACTAACTTGTTCATTCTTTTTGACTGAGACTTTGATTCCTAAAAAATTAGACCCAAAAGTATTGTTCGTTCGAAACAATACTCTTCTTGTGTCGACACTAACTTAAAAAGAAAGTTTAATTTACAAATGTAATATCTAAAATGTCTGTCTAATGATAGAAAGGAGCATCGAATAGCAAACAGTAACCCGTTATCATGACCAAACATTCGGAGACTTACAAATATTGATTGAAAAAAAGAATTTTTATTGATTATTCAACAAGAACGAATGTTCATATTATATCACTTTACCGGGGCACTAACTTATGTACGTACATACTTACATATTAAAGCCTGCTTCCCCCAATGGAGCTTCAGACTCTTCGTATTACTCAGAACTCCATAACGACAGACTTTAATAGTATTGTTAACAAGAATAGTTGGAGACTGAACCAAAAGTGAATACTGGTTTTCAGTAGAATGCATAATGCACATTTCATTCTATTTAGAGTTCGTCAGTTTGATGGAGCTAGAGCCTAGTGTTGGTGTTCACATGTGAACTAGAAATCAGTACTTTTGGTTTCGAATGCCTAACGCGTCAGGCACTTTGTAACTAGCTTGTACAATGGGATGGATTTTAACACAGTTTTATTGGTTGTTTATACATTCCTTTTATTGATAATTAACTTTCAACTCTGCTTAAAATGCAATATAATCAGAACATTGAATTCATATGCGTCAATCGACACTGATCATTTAAAATCCAAAGAATCAGAAATAAGATGCAAGCAGACAATATCGATGAATTAATCATTTACAAGCGTTTTTAAGATGATAACATTTTTCGAACTCAATCTAGTAAAATAGATTTCAAATAAGTTACATATTGTTTTAGTCTGAATTCCCTTTTCAAGTTTTCTTAACATTATTGTCAAGTATATCGGGTTTGTAAACTCAATTCACACTGAATACTTGAGCTTTGGTATTTTACTCTGTACCTCACACTAAATTGTTTGCTTTCATTATGAAATATAAACCATCCATACTGTTTATTTACCATTTTAGTGCATAGAACACCAAAGTTCACACAACAGACACTCAATTTTGAAGTCAATTCTTCAGACTGGAATAATGGAAGCATTATTGTTCGTCTTTCTCTGAAGGATGGAAACTCGTCGATAAATTCATGTGGAAGTGCGATGTTCAGTATTAAACAACCAATGATAAAATTTATACCTGTGGTTGTCAATGTAGCGAGTGGTATTTTGAAAGTGAATAGTACTTTTGATGTAATCAAGAATGAATTTCCTTTTTTCTTCCAAGTAACTGTTATGAATGTGGATCATTCTTTGAATATATCTGATGAAGCAATGGTCAATATTTCAATCAATGAAAGGTATTCTGATGAGAAGACAGGAACAGAGAGTGCTGTTCTGAAAGGTTGAGACGTTTATTCAGTATAATTATTTCATTTCAAACGTCATTGCACTGAGTTATTTCACAGTCGGTAAACTATCGGGTAGATGATGAATTTCATCTCTAATATCACTATTATCACGTGACTGAATGTTGTCACTTATAAACAGTGACACCTACAGAAAAACATCAAGTCTTTATTTGGCGAATCGCACTTAATGATTGGTGTTTGAATGAGAAAACAACTTTGTTATTTAACTCAACTTCACAAAATACAATGCAAATGTTTCACAAAATAGATTCCTAACGGAATTGACGAATTTCAAAGTAATAAAATGATTGCGAGAAAAGGTGAACTGGCAACTCCTTTTGAAACCGGTTTGTCAATTTGACGGCAAATCAATCCGTGATAATGTAATTAATTTAGGAGTGAACAGTAAGCCTATTTTATTTGAATTCTCATTGAAGCACATATTTTGCAGTTCACAAGGGCTTCTCAATATTCACAAATCAATAAATTCGCGTGTGAGATGAGATACTGACGGGTGGACTAACCGAAGTAGGTGGTTTCCTTAGCGGATCACAACTTGAGCCGCGACTCACAGATGTAATCCTTAAGGAAGTGAAATTAAGAAATGGCATCAGTACATAAAGTCACTGACTGCCGGACTGCGAAATGTAGGTAGGTGAATACTACCTGGTTGGTGTCCGTTCAACCATCATATACAATGATAAGCAGTTTTCAGTGACATGGCTCAAAATCGTATAAGTGTAAAACTACTTGATATTTTTGAACTCTCTAACAATGATGGCCTAATCGTGAAGCTTTAATTGTCAGTCTAGACAACATCTTTCTTGCTTACTGGACACAGAATTGATGTGTTTACTTTGCCTCATTAGTCTTGAATCGCCTTGGCCCAGCCTTCATGTTCAACTGGACTTTTTATCCATCGTCGACCATTATCGGGCAATTACTTGACGTATTTCAAACGAGTAGGTAGACAGGATGTTGGTTCATTTGGATGAATGCCATGCTTTCAGTGATTCTCTGGGACTCCTACATTCCTCATGAAACAGATTTTCAATGTACTCCCAGATGAATTCACCTCTATTTTTCTTTACATACATTGATAATAGTGATAGTTTATATTTCACTGACAGTTTGTGTGTTCATGTATACATAAATGCGAAGAACATCTACACGTTTCGCTCTGCGTAAAATGGATTTCAGTAATTTTGTCAGTTTAAGAACAACATCGATGTCCAAATGCTTCATGATCCCCATAATTTCCTAGATAATGTCTGAATAATAATATACATTGAAAGATGTGATTTTTACTACAATTTTTATGAAACACTTTCATCAACATTCATTCAATGATAACATTTGAAACAAATAAAGTTTAGAGGGTACAATACTTCCTCCATTTTTTGAACTTTCTGCTTGCTTTAATCATAAATCATGTAGAGTAAATAAAAGCACAGTAAACTATGTTTTTTGAAAGTTGGACATTGAACGGAGGGAAAAATTCGTCAAAGAATTTAAATCACCTTACAAATACATTTTATCTGAAGTTATCGCTTTCAGAATTTAGTTTTCAATATATTTTCAGTTATTTAAATGATGTAAATATTAAATTAATAAGTGTTGAATTAAAAAATATTTGTATCTTACAGTGATAGTGTCGAACTGTACGTGAATGACAAATAATAATAATGAATTGGAAATTTTACATGATTATTTCGTTTTATAAACTTAAATGAAATCAATATGATACTTTAGGTGGAATATCATCAATTCTCCATTATTTTTCTCATTACAACTGCATGTGTAATGGATGATGTGACATGGCTTATCCATCACTTCTCCACCTGACGTTGATGATGATGTTGGTCAGAAGGAGAGCAATGAAAGCTCTTCAAATGAAACATCCAGCTTATAGAACGAAACTTCACTACAGTCATCCACTGGAGCTATAAATTTTCTCCACTCAAAGCACAAACGTCTACGCATATGTGCATCTATGCGTGATGACGATCGAATTTAAACAATAATATCCTTCAATGATTATCTGTGTTTTTGCTAATTTGCGACAGAAACATATTTTTACAAATTCAGATTTTGCAATGTTCGTCAAACTAATACGAGTTTAATTAACAATATAAATGTATAATTTGAACAAAATCTCAATCATATACTTTTACAAAGTACTTTGTTTCTATAGGCTTTTATAACTCCACCAACAAATATTGATGTGAAAGTTTATCGACCATATCTTACAGATAATCCAAATTACTGTCTTTATGATGAATGGTTTATTGATATGGTGATGATATTACCATCAGGAAATCACAATTTATTGATTAATTTATTTGGTCCATCATTCAATAAACTGTATTATGGATATATTGAATATTTATTTGCTTATTACAATGGTACCAATATAGTGAATAATTATTCAATTCAGTTTAGTAATTTTATATATTTAGGCAATCATTCTATGGTAAGTTTAATGAACGCTTTGTCTTTTGGGCAATAATACTATTTAAACGTTTCAGTTGTACTTTTTTATCTGTTGTGGTGAAGTTTCATTCTCTGAGTTAAATGTTTTGGTTGTTAAACGTGTTCTGATTCTGAATGGCATTATAATAAGCAGGAATATTAGGGAGAGAATCAAATCATACAAATTTTTCCATGTATGAGTCGTAGCTTGTTCCGTTGACCTCGAACTTGATTGTTTGTAGCTGAATTTAAACCAGTAGTTGTTTTCATTTTTATATTACTGTATCCCCCGTTAATTTGTTTCTCCAGTCATATACTTAGAAATTCGAGTATACAACTTCTCTACCTAAAGAAAGCTCTGATGCTTTTGTTAATCAGGAGAGGAGCAACAATAAAAGCCATACAGCAAAAACATCCAGATCAGAGAACGAAATAAAAGCCCGATCATCCACCCAGGCTAAAAATTTTCTACATTATCTCATAGACTTTTTCGCATTGATGAAAGTGAATGAGTTTGCGCAAGATCGTGCATTGATCGAAGTTAGAGATTAACACCAAGAGGCGCTAACTCGGTGGTCTAGAGGTTAAGCGTTTGCACGTGAGACCGTAGGTTCGATTCCTACGTGCAAACGTCACTGATCAGCATTGCTATTGAGTTAACATTTATCGTTTTCATGTCTGCATTCACTTCCCAGTGTTATGTGTTAATTTTGCTGGCTCTCATTCCTTTTGTTTTGAGGATCGCATGGTGGTAGATTCTACTGCATGAAATGACCTAATAGTTTTAAATACTGTTTGCTATGCTGTTTTGGATTGTTTTCTTAAAATCCTTCTCAATCTGTAACTGAATTCTTCTTTTGATGGCCTCTGATCAAATAGTTTGTCATATTTGGTGCGGCCATTTTTTCTCAAGTGCAAGCAACGTTTGGTACTAAAGGCAGTAGTTCACTCCGTCTGCTGGAACGTTCGTGGTGTTTGTCTTGGAAAGTTTTAGTTTCGTATTTATTTACAAACAGTTATTGTGAATATACATTGCTTTTTAGTCGTAAGGGTGCATCACACCAGTAACCCAAATACTCAATATTCAGCATAGGTATCCGTTCGAAACAAGAATCTGGATATTAATCAAATGACTGGAAACGTTGAACTAGATCAAAACGTGATCAATAAAATATCTGGCAATTATAAACAAACCAGATAAAAATACAGCTACAAACTTTAAAGTGACGATAGCAAAACGTGAACGTACCTAAATGAATGTGTTACTTATCAGTGTATGAAATGATAGGTTTGTTGTATTTTACTACAACTGCTCAGTTTCATATTGCTAAATCCAATATTCTCCTACCTATTATATGCGTAATATGTAGTAAACTTCAAGAAAATACAAAGCAACAGGTGATAATATATCCTGTGACTTAACATTCATTCTTTACACAGATTTTATTCACTTGAACGAAGCTATAGCATGATGGAATCGACTTGTATATCTCAATATGCCAATGTTAGGTAACATTACAGGTGAAAAGTATGAAATATATTTTATTCAATGTATTACTTCTCAAAACAGTTTCACACACTAGAACTGTTAAGTGATGTTTTTCTCAGCCTGCAGTGTTCAAAATGTCGAAACAGGTTACTGTATCATCTGCTCCCATTAATAATACAAATGATTTCAGTATGAAGATAAGATTCAAAGTTGGTCCAGAATAGCCGATTCTTCCTTGAGGTACCACTACTTATAAGTAGTGCGACCACAGTGGTATGTAAATTGATAAAGTTTAAACAGCAATTTCGAACTATCAACTTCATCAGTGTAAAAAACGTTTTTGAATGTTTTGTTTTTTGGAAAATCCCTCCATGAATATATATATTTGTGTTATGATATGACTGACTCTTTCTGTTGACATTTTGGTACTCCATTTGATTCCATTTTGAGGTTTTATCATTGTATATTGTTATTATTTCTGTATCTTGTACTTATATTGAAGTTTTTATGTTTGCTTCTGAACTGTACATATGTTGTTTAAATTTGATATTTAATATGGCTACAGCCATTTTGGATTTGATACCGTAGCAATTTAGACTTGAAGCACTTATTCTTCCAGAAGCGGATACCCATCAGGGTAAATGGGACTTGGGAGGTGTAACAATAGTTGGTTAATTGTCTGTATTTCCATTTCATAATGAATAAAGACCGATTTCTCCCAGAATTATCGTGTTTTGGTATTGGATCCGGGACGTCGAGTGCCAACCTGCGCCTATTGGAATCGGAGTGAACTGCTAGGGTAGAAAATCCATCTACAGTCCAACTATTGAGAAGAACAAAGAAACATTTGGAATTTTCATCGTTTACAATATCAAACTTCCTGGAAGCAGAACTTTGGATTACTTATCTTTAGACTTGATCAAACTGTATTTTGGATAACGATCTTTTGATCTTATGGGTTTTCATTGACGAAGAAGATCTACCGGTGGAAACTTTATATTTTGTGTTTGTTACTTATTTTCCGTTGAATTTCAATTAACTATGAGCTCTCGAAAGAAATCAATTACGAAGAGGGTTGAAGCCATGAAGAATCCCGGAATGCAAGGCAAGTTGTTTATGATACTTCATGTTTAATGGGTTCACTCTCTACTAAGGATGATTTTATGCTTGATACTTATTATTGTAAGTCACCCTTAGAATGCACTAAGGAACAAAGTTTGGACGAGAACTCTTAGGTACTCCGGGAAGAATTGATGTTTAGGACACCGGTGGTTGGCTTAGAATTGCTAAAGGCTGAACTAAGTTATTTTTATGGACAACACCGTAATTATATTAAGTCTATGAAACAGTTTGAAACGTTTATAGAACCCAGAGTTATGGAGCTAAGCCTATTTTAAAGAAGCTCTTCGGACAATCGCATGTAATAGCTCGTGAAACTTTGGATGACTTGTTTAGATCTGGGAATGCGGATTACAACGACCCAGAACAATTGTCGGATTCAGCAATTAAGATGCAAAACGTTGCTCTAACTATGGAACAATTAAATTGTATTGCAGAACTAAATTCTCTTGTAACTTTAGAGCGAATAGTTAGGCTCTTACCTCATCGAATGCAAGTCCAGTGGGCAGAGCTGGGAATTAAGTGGGAAGAAGAGGAAAGAGAGACTACTTTCAATGAATTGACTGACTTTATTATGTCTCGTGCTAGGATAGCTAGTAGTAGATTAGGAAGATTATCTAATCGCGCTAAAACAGGAAATGATACAGAAGCTTTTAGTCATCTGCGTGCGAGACACGAGAATTCTTCAAATGCATTTGCACCTACCTCACGCCCGGAACTTAAGAGAGTTGTTAATTGTATCAGAAAGGTATATCCTCTCGAAGACGCAGCATGTTACCCTGATGATTTAAAATCCCGTGATGTGTATCCTAGCGAGAAGTCGGCTTGTGTAGCAGATAAGATGGCATTTTTGAGTATGGAAAAGAAAGAAAAAGGCAAAAACGGTAGGCATCAAGACGAATCCGAGGTGTGTGATGGTAAAAGCTTCTTAACTGCTCGAAATGCAAGCAATGATAATTTGGATTCTAGCAAACAGAGGTTGATGAGTACAGTGAATATGAATAAGGACAAAACAGGTTTGGCTGTATGGAATAAAGCTTATGTTCGGAACCCTTCACGTGGGGTAAATTATTTAACACGACCTAGAGTTGATCCTAGGATAACAAGTGTAAATAGTGACACAGTACTTCATGTTGCTGAGCAATCAGGATGTCTGCCGGCTACTGTATCTAGTTCTACGGAGCATCATGATATTGAAGCGGAAGATAATAGCAGCTTGCTGCTGGTGTTTGTTTACAGTCAACGGATGGACGGTCGTATACTAGTCCAAGTAGTCATAGCAACATTAATAGTGTCAGTGTAAGTGGCAGACGTGGTAGCTTAGATTTAAATTTGATATGTCTACAGCCATATCTAAAAGTCAAAGCAACTATCAATTGACACAAAGTCTTAATTTTCAATGCGAAACAGTTCTAATGTTTGTGATTGAGTGTTGGAGGACGACGAAAGCTATCGTGCACAAAAAACAAGTATTTGTTACCCGTTGTCTACTCAAAATACTGAGGATCCATCGACCAGATCCAACGATCTTAAAATGCATGAGAAAAAAAGTAAATCGTCGAACACATTACTTCAAGAATTGGAGGCAGACATGAAGAGAATTAACCGTAATTGGATAGAACCGTTAATGATAGCGGATCAAGAATTTGATTGGAGAATGCTGCTTGACAAACTATGCTCGACCTGTGGTAGAAGTAGCACGTAAGCCCTCAACTGACGACTAAAATATGTGTAATATGTTTTGCCACTAAATATCTGCTTTTGACCAACTTTTGAAGAATATGAAAATCTATGACAACTCTGTACTTGTAATCCTTTTTATATACATGAAGAGATTATGTAGTTAACATACATGAGTAATGTGTTAAAAACAAGCAGTAACAGGTAGTTTGCTAAATCTATTTGATGTTGTAACACAACAGGCAGCCTAAATATTCTAACACGCCGAATATAAAATAAACCTGTTCAAATATTAATATATTTTACTTTAACTCACTAAATTCAAGTTAAAATTTGTGCAAAACAATTCATATTTTCGAATATGCGTTAACCAATTTATTTATTTAATAGTTCACATTTAGTGCTTCTATTGGGCATTTTTCGTTAACGCTTCCTTCGACATTCTCAGCATATCCAACAGATTATAAACTCCACACAGAACAAATAGTTTTCTCTAATCTGATAATGACAACGATCGGTTATGTGAATGTGACAAATCTACAAAATTTCGGTAAGTTTACAATTGTTTTTCAACAAACCGTTGCCTGGTTGAAGTTAGATTTAAACGCTTTTGAATGCCGACTCATGCATACGTGCGTGAGGGTTGAGGCTAAGCGAATGCACGTGTGACGATCATGGATGTAGAGTGCTGATTCATGTTAGCACAAGCTGAA